CCCCACCCTCCTTCTCTCTTTTTTTGTTTTTGTATCAGGAGGTATTTTACGACACTTGCAACACAATAAGGTCATTTACGTGCCGAAGATTAGAGATGTTACAAGAGAGTAACAAACACAAAAAAGAAGGAAGGGAGATAAAGACAACAGATGTTTTGATAGGAAAGAAGAAGCAAATCACACCAGAGCACCCGCAAACCACCCACATAATCCGAAAATGTCATCAGAAAGTTTACAGTAATACTCATGTTGCTCTAAACCCTCTCTGATGTCATCATATCTCGAGCAGACTCACCTTCATTTGGAGGAAACGGGCATCTGTACCCCAATGAGGTAATCTCTAGAAATAGAAGAGAAAGCATGGTCATGGCATGATAATAGCAGTGGTTTAGTCAAATTTCAGAGTCAAGTATAGCAATGGTTTTAACTGTATCTTATTCACAGCAATGGTTTTAACTGTATATTATTCACAGCAATGGTTTTAACTGTATATTATTCACAGAAATGGTTTTAACGGTATATTATTCACATAAATGGTTTCAACTGTATCTTATTCACAGCGATGGTTTTAACTGTATCTTATTCACAGCAATGGTTTTAACTGTATGTTATTCACAGCGATGGTTTTAACTGTATATTATTCACAGCGATGGTTACTGTATATTATTCACAGCGATGGTTGTGAAATAGCATTCTCAGATTTCTCGTAATTGTACTTAAATGGGCATTATCATTTATAATGGGCACAGATGGTTATAGGCTTAATTCGAGCAATGGTACGGTGGTCATATCGACTGACTCTCGTATAGATTTGTCGTCTGTTGTTTTGTTTTATAATATTATCTTCCTGGATCTTTTCCGGCTTTTAAAGGCCACAAAAGGCTTCTCTTTTCTAAAACAAATAAACAGTTCTATAGTTCGTTAGGTAGCCTACAAAAAGTTTCTCACGAAATCGAATTTTTGTTGAAATTAAAGAAAAAACAATGTGTGCATACCTAAAGAAAAGGTATCAAAAGTCGCCCCAGACCATTTTGAGCTACAGACTGATAACGACAAAAATCTTTTATTTATTTATTTATTTATTTTTTTTACACAAAATGAGTTTCCATGAAAAAATGATAGTTCCACCATTTTTTAACAATGTGTTAAAAAGAGTTTTCATTGATTTGACTTCTAAATATTTTATTTTGAATTATTTTGAGGGTAGGGTATGTTTTAAAAAGAGAACGAAAACTGCATTTAAAAGGTGGTCAAATCTATTCTTGAAGCATGTTTACTCTTCCACGTTATGTTTTACCTTTGAATTCTAATCATGATATTGATGCCAACTGATTGCCGAATTGGAAATGAATGAATTTTCTTTGAATAAATACACTAGAAACAATTGAAGCTTCGTTCTTATTTCAAGTTTGTAGGTGTTCTAAACTTAAAGGTTAATTATCTCAAAATTAGACATTTATACCCAAACTCGTACGATGTGCAACATATCAAAAACAACTTGAGATATTCTCCCCCCCCCAAAAAAAATAAATAAATTAAAATAAATTAAAACCCATTGTGTTCAGCATTGAATGTCCTATTAGGTACAACCCTTAACTCAAAATGGTTACAATCCGACTGTTGGTACCTTTCGTTAGGCACACACACAACTTTGTTTGTCAATTTGACTCTCACCTGGGAGTGGGGGTGGGTTACCGCCAGGGGGGAGTGGAACCTCGCTCACTGTGGAGGAAAATATTGGAATATTATAACAGTTGTTAATATCGAAACGTCGTGACGTGTCATGGAATCAAAGCCTTTTCAACACTGTGTGCTTATCTAGGAGCCTTCGAAAAAAAACCAAGAGTCTTGAATAGATAATATCATAGCTAGAACCGAACCATGCCTGAGAGCGTTTGAGACTCGCCAAACGAAAAAACAACAACAAAAAAACAAATCTTTATACATGTATGTTCATGTGGCCATAACAATATGTGAAATTTGCATTGCGGCCGTCAGCTCTATAACCCAGTATATTTCCAGGATGAAAATAGCTCTTTTCCTTAATGATCTCAATTGTGTCAATAGTTGGTAAAATAATGACATTTTAAACAAAACTAAAATCATCCGTTAAGTTTTTTCTCATTTTAGTTCATCCCAGCCATCTTTTTCTTTCATAAATGGTCACTTTTAAGGACAAGCAGGCTAACCCAGATTTCGGGGGGTTTCCAGAAATCTTGACCGACACCAAAAGTGGGCATTGCCCTACCTATAGGAGAAGTTTGGTTTCATTGGTGTGTATATTTGTTTGGTCATAGAGAAACTCTCCTTGTCTTTAAATAAACTGAACCTTTACCTAAATCTTTACTTTCAATTTTCACAATACAGCATTTTTGGGGATAGCACCTTTGTGCTTATAAGCGACCAAATATGAGAAGAGGTCATTGAAAAACAAAGAAAGACAAACCTTCATTTCTCTTCACTCTGCTCTGGAGTTTTTCGCTGAGGGGTGGTCCTTGGGCCCGCGAAGACACAAGGCTTGCAAAGCACAGCTGTAGAGAAGATTGGGTGAAAAAACCCAAGTTATAGACGAATAGTAAACTGCCGGTGGTTGGTGGGTGCTCTGGTGTGGTTTGCTCCTTCTTTCCTATCAAAGTCAAACAACTGTCGTTCTTATCTCCCCTCCTTCTATTTTGTGTTTGTTACTCTCTTGTAACGCCTCTAATCTTCGGCACTTAAAATGGCTTTATTGTGTTGAGAGCGCCGTAAAACCTTACTAAAACAAATAAAACAAAAGAACAGTAAACTTCATGACTTATTCAATATGAATCATGTGTTCCTGAAGCAAAAGTGAGGCTTTGGGCTATGTGAGCTGGTGGTTGGAGGGCGCCACTACATGGTCCTACTAGCTTAGTCCGACTCCGTGTCTCTGGGAAATGTGCTTTACCTAAAGTTTCCCATTTAACTCGGTCCTATCAGAGATTGGCGTTAGATTCGGGGATATCTTTTTTTTGTAAGTGTTTTACGGCACTCGCAACTGCATACGATTCATATGAGCGCCCAGGACACCTTAAACTTTTTCAGTTGGTAGGAAATTTTGAATTTTGCCTGGGTGGCGGCCGACGCTTACTCTTATCGATTTTAGACCACCAAGGGATCTTTAACGAGTGCAACTTGCATATGTTCCACGCACTCATATGACCTTATGCAGTTCCGAGCGCCGTAAAACACTTACCAAAAATACCCCCCCCCACTAAAAAACTCTTGCTACACGACACATTAGGTGTCAAGACCCGGTGGAGTCAGGCGCTCGTTAGTTGTTTGGGCATGCGAAGTGTGATTGGTTTCATCCTAAAGCTTGTTTATTTGTCGTCTTGTTTTCGATTTTAAAAAATACCCATCTTTCTTGAATAGAAGTTAAGATATTTGCAATTGAAAGAGATGGGGGCTTTTGAGTGAATCAAATGGGAAAATTGAAGCTCTGAATACTGAAAATTTACATTTTTTGTACCTTTTCAGTAAAATCCATACATAAATATGTTTTTAAATGGACATAAAAGTGGAAAAGACAACAACAATAACAACAAATATTCAATAAAAAATTGCCAAACCGGCCGTTAAAATACCGGTACATTTGATTACAGTATCTTGACGAGGGCCTGCTTTTATCACGATGCATCCCTCACAAATTATAATAACTCACCGCAATTACTACCACTCTGACAATCATCCTGTGGTCTCAGTTGGATACGCAGTAGAACCGAGTCGTTAAATGTACTGCCAACGTAAACGGTACTGGTCTGTGTCCGATTAACTGCGAATGAGCTGAGCCTAGCTGTTGTAGTAGTGACGGTAATTTCGACAATAATCTGATGCCAGTAGTTGGGGCAGTGTTCAGTTTATATAGTGCTTGAGCGTGGGAGAAATTGTCGCCTGACGTCCAAATATTTCTGAGTGGGAGATGCAGGGAGGAAAAGGGGGGTGGAAAAGGAGGTTGATTTTTCCTGGGGATTTTTTTTTGGGGGGGGGGGGGGGTGGGGGTGGGTGGAAGGAGAGAGGAGAAGAGAGGTGGTATGACATGACGTGACAATGCAGGGAGTGCAAGGTCTCGAACAAAAAATGTTATCAAAACACTTGAGAGTATGAAGTGCAGCTGCATTGTGGCACGTCGGATCTGCTGTCCTTGTGCAGCTTATGACGTAGTTTTAATTACCATCCAACACGGATCTCACCTAGCTCTCTGATTTTAGATCTCTACATTTTGAGCTTATGGCGTGCGACATTTATTACAAAAAACTTGCCCAAAACGAAACATGACGCTAATAAGTGCACACAGTTCATGCTTTTCTTCGCACTTGTTTAAGGTTATTGCAATTGTTTTTTGTTTGGTGGTTGTTTTTTTTCAATCCAAGATACACTTAGTGTATTACTCGTGTTTTCAAACGCCACATTTTTTACTTCAAATTATGCTCTATTGTTACTCTAAATACCTCCTTTGTTACTCCAAATACCCCCATTGTCACTCCACCATTGTTACTCCAAATACCCCCATTGTTACTCCAAATACCCCCATTGTTACACCAAATACCCCCCATTGTTACTCCAAATACCCCCATTGTTACTCCAAATACCCCCATTGTTACCGCAAATACCCCCATTATTACTTCAAATGCTCCAGTGTTATTTAAAATACACCCATTTTTACTCCAAATGCCCCCATTGTTACTTTAAATGCCCCAATTACTACACCAAATGCTCCATTGTCGCACCAAACACCCCCATTTTGGCTCCACATACCTCGTTGTAAGAGGAAGTGCCGCTTTGTACCTTCAAATGTACAACAGGCAGCTTTTCATGATCACGTTATACAATGTATGTGTCCAACTATCATAATCAAGTCCAAATATGACATCGTTTTCAAATTCAAATATCACATGATTTACCTGAAACTATCCTCTAAACTCTTGCAGGTATCTGAACGCTTCTTACGCGCCGATTAATAAACAAACTCAAGAGTAGATCCAGACCAATAAGAAATTGCTGCATTGCAAGCCCAATATTTATTTAAAAAGACCAAAAACAATTTAGTCGAAAATCCAAAAGGCGTCTATATGAATCACATGAGAGAGTTGGTAGATTGCATGCGGCTTGCCTGCTATACATACATATGCACATCGGGTTTCTCGTGGCCTAGAGGTTAAGGTGTTCGCCTCTCATTCAAAGGTCCTGGGTTCAAATCCGGCCTGCGAATTTTTCTTCTCTAAAATGATCTCCTTTCACCTCCTTTCCCGCTCTCTAGTAATGTTCTGTCATCTGCTTTTGTCTCCACTCTCTGCCCCCACCCCCTCACCTCCTTTGCCATTTCCTCTGGGCTTCTGATTCTTTCTGCAGCCTTTCTACTGCTACTCCTTGGCTCCTTCTTACTGCTGTCTTTCAGCCACACCCCTGATCTTCAGGTAGAAAGATCTACACCTTGCCTTCTTGGACAAGGGCGAAAAATCTAGGAGGTCCCGTGTGCAAGTTGCGCACGTTAAAGACCCCTTGGTGGTCTAGAATTGATAACGGTAGGCTTCGGCCTCCTCAGGGCAAAATTCAAAATTTCCTACCAACTGAAAAGTTTAATGTGGCAAACGCCCTCACATGACCTTACGCAGTTGCGAGCGTCGCAAAACAATTACCAAAAAAAAAGGGGGAAAAAAATAATAAAAAAAAATAAAAAAAATAATCCACACATCCCTGTAGAAGAAATATCAAACCTCTTTAACGGAACTGTTTTATTGCACGACGTAGGTCCTGCACAATGACCTCCATATTTGGTATCTCGACGATTAAAGGTGGGCGTCTTGCTTTCTTTTTCCTTTCTGATTTGTTGTTGTTGTTATTGGTGTTATTGTTGTTGATGTTGCTGTTGTTGTTGTTGCGGCTGTGTTTGTTGTTGTTCGAGTTAAGGAGATGTACAACGACGCAGTAACGGTCAGTTAGTGCAAAGAAATAACAAGACGTCGGACAAACAGAAACACCCACCCACCCACCCATACACACACAGAAGGATAGAGAGAAAGAGAGAGAGAGAGAGAGAGAGAGAGAGAGAGAGAGAGAGAGAGAGAGAGAGAGAGAGAGAGAATTTACGCTTCAAGCACTAACGAAGAGCGTGCATTTTGTTACAGTTTTTGCCTTTTAAGTGTACCTCTTTCTTTATATCATGGGGGTGGTTTTGCATTGTTTTGCTTTGTTTTTTGTGTGTTTTTTTGGTGTTTTTTTGTGTTGCTTCTTTTTCGCACCCTCAGTGCTTTCTTCTCGCATCTCCATTTTTATAAACTGTGAAAACACTTCAAATGCTGAGGTACGAAAGAGAATCACCAACGCAGTGGGGCAATATGAAGATCTACTGACCACAGTTAAGAGACGAAAATTAAAATGGTATGGGCATGTCACAAGATCCACAGGACTTGCCAAAACAATCCTGCAAGGAACCGTACAAGGAAAGAGAAAGAGAGGAAGGCAGAAAAGGAGATGGGAGGACAACATTACAGAGTGGACAGGAAAGACGATGGATGACAATCTGAGGAAAGCAGAGGACAAAATAGATGGCGAGAGCTGGTTTTCAGATGCAGTGGTGCCCCCACGGTTGTCCCAACCACGGGATAGAAGAAGAAAAAGAAGAAGAAGAAGAAAACATTTCATAACAAAGAGTGATCTGAAGAAGAAGTAATATTTTCACTGTTACAAAATGAAGATATGACAAGAAAGCACTGAGGTCGCACTTTATTTTAAAAAAAAAATTTTTTTTGGGGGGGGGGGGGGTGGAAGCGTTCTATCTCCTTCTCAGAGTCAAATATTGCTTATGGGTGGTTTTCGGGTGCTCTGGTGTGGTTTGCTTCTTCTTTCCTATCAAACATCTGTCGTCTTTATCTCCCCTCCTTCTTTTTTGTGTTTGTCACTCTCTTGTAACACCTCTAATCTTCGGCACTTATATGACCTTATTGTGCTGCAAGTGCTGTAAAACACTTTGTAAGAAACATTGTTGAGAAATAATTTGAGAGTACAGTCATGAAGGAGGTGACGAAAGATCCGTAGCAAATACATGGGAATTCGAACATCAATCTACCTTACGTCAATCAAGTTCGTAGCCGTTGATGTTTAATTTTCTTCAGAAACAGGCGTGATAATATTAGAGTCTTTAATCTAATGAAGTTATGGGATGACATTGTGATGTAATCTGAATCAAGTAATTTTCTCAGGCACTCATTTCAACCTGTGACGTCAGGTTCAAGTAGTCTGTCTCCGTGTGCTTTTGTTCTTTTGGTGATTTTTTTTTTCTGTTAAAAATAGTTTTCTTTGAGAGTAATGACCTGAGCCAGATCACGCCATCTAGTTGCTACGAGAATTTCTAGACCATTTTTAGAAAATATTATTACAACGAAAACACGTTTTGAAGTAAATTCGCCGGATATCCTTATCTAAAGAAGCATAAATCTTGTCATTGTGAGGAAAATGATAATTGCTATAATTAAAACGTGGTTGTAAAAAAAATATATATATATACATAATATATTTATATAAATATATATATATATATATACATGTGTATATATATAATTATATATAAATATATATATATAAAAAAAAATAAAAAAAATAAAAAATAAATATATTATGTACACGTGCCTGCAGTCGACCCTACTCAGTATAAAGGAGTGGCTTTACCACTGTGCTGGGAAGTGGGAATCAGAAACATAATTATGTGAAGCATCATGGTGAAATCAGGCGCTCGTCTAAGTAATCAAATCAAGAAACAGGCATTTTTCCTCCAGTTTGGAAATTTTGTCGAATTTACGATTTTTATATACATTTCCTTGTATGCAGAAGAGTTAACGCTCAGATGCTACTGGATCGCTAACAACAACAACAACAACAACATAATATACATTTCCTTGTAAAATTGACTGGAAAACCTTGATTAATGGAACAAAACAATGATGTAAATTTTCAGTTTTCAAGGACTCTCAAACTATAGAAGTTACCGAACTTTTGGCAGCCATTTCCTCGCAAATTTTACCTAAGAAAAAAGGCAACCCCCACCTCCTTCAATAGAAAATATCTCTACTTCTGTTCGCGATAGTTGAGTACATGTGGGTTTTTTTCACCGAAAGACAGACATAATATTAACAAGCGTTAAGGTTATACCAATAACTCCATACGCCCAAAAATTGACGAGGGCCTGATTTGACCGCGTCGTGACACCTATTATCTTGTCATGGGCCTACCGGTATGTCGTTGAGTGGGCACTTGCCTATCCAACTGTACCGCACAGCTACGGGTTTTTTTTGTGTTGTTTTTGTTTGGTAAGTGTTTTACGGAGCTCGTTTTTGTTTTTTGTAGAGGTTTTACGGCGCTCGCAAATGCATAAGGTAATATGAGCGCCAAGGGGTGGATGTCAACAGAAAAGTCCTTACAAGGAATCAGACGTTCTCTGCTCACCTCCATAGCTTCTACAGCACAAAGTCTACGGCGCTCGCAACTACATAAGGTCATATGAGCGCGTGGGACAAACCAAACATTTTCAATCTGTAGGAAATTTTGAATTTTGCCCGGGTGGCGTTTGTTATCGTTTTGGACCTCCAAAGGATCTTTAATGTGCGCAACTTACACAGGGGACCTCCGAGATTTTTTCGCCCTTTTCCGAGAAGGCTAGGTGTAGATTTTTCCTGCCAGGAGATCAGGGGCGTAGCTGAAAGACGGCAGTAAGAAGGAGCTAAGGAGAAGCAGTAGAAAGGCTGAATAAAGAGTCCGGAGCCCAGAGGTGAGGCCAGAAAGCGGATACGAAATCAGACGACAGAACATTGTTGGAGAGCAGCCTGGAAAGGAGGTGAAAGGAGACACTTTTAGGAAAAAAAAAAGTTGTTTTCGGTCGCTACTCGGATTCGAACTCGGGACCTATGAATGA